CTTTGAAGTTTCTTTAGCGGTTGGATTGGTTTTCCGGTGTAGGGTTCCTAGCCCTACGCCCAACCTTCCCTCTTTATTCGGGCTTAGGACCGGCTAGTAACTAGTGAACTAGTTAGCCAGTCGAGGTTGCATCACTATCGACAGAACAGGAATCATGAGAACTAAGCAGTTTACATAGGTTATGTTCACGTCTACAACTGAAGTTCATGGGCTGACATTCTGAAGAGTTAAGCATAAGATCATTCTCGGAGGACTATCGTCTAACAGTACATAGGAAATCATCCAGTTGGGAGCAATCTGCTTAGGAGTACATAGGCGTGGAAACTGTTAGGTTATCGGCATATTTGATGAAATTGATACCAGCTGAAGATTGTAGGTTATGCAGAAAGAATGAGAAAATACATGAGGAAAGGATGGCTCCTTGAGCAACTCCAGTCACAGTAAGCAATGAGCAATAGGAATGCAGCCAGCTGATTACCCAGGAATCAGTATTTGTTCCGATTAACTTGTCTAGCAAAAATGGTCTTGAGACAAAATCAAATGCCAAAATATAGCTTGAGAAGGCATGCCTGACATACTTGGCATTTTTATCAAGACTTTAAGCAATATCATGATATAAGAGAGTGGCTGCATCCAGAGAGCTTCTTCTGCTTTTATATGCAAATTGATTAGGGTCTCCAAAACCCCTCAACAAGGGCTGGAGAACAGGTGTTATTTTCTTCATTATTTTTAAGAACAGACAGGCAGCTGTAATCGGACAGAATTCTGTACTTGTGCCTGGAGTTCTAGACTTAGGTATGGAGACTATCTTAATATCTATATCTTTTCAGGCGGCTGGTATAGTGTTTTCGAAAAACCATCTGTTGAACATGTTAGCTAGTGGAAAGCATAAATTATCAGTACACTTCGTGAATACGAAGCTTGACATACCATCCGGTCCTGAACTGTGTGAAAGGTTCAGGGATTTGAGACATTTGAAAACATCTTTCGCAGTGAACTCTGGACAACATTCTTCATTGGACATAGGTGGACAAAGTAGGATCGAACAAGTAGGTTGACGTACAAACGATCTTTTCAAAGCATAGAAGTCGACATGTGCTTAATTACTAAGGTGTTTACTACCAGTGAGATCTTTAAAAAGCTTCCATATACTGGAAGATCATTTGCATGACAAACGTTTCTGGTTCTATAGTGGACTCAGACGTTTCATTTCCAACCTAGTTAGAACGGTCAATCGACGAGCACCAGCATTATCACTTACTTTATATAGTCTTTCTTTTTCTCTTCTTAGTTTTTTAAGCTAGGAAGAAGATATAAGATCGAAGCATAGAAAAAGTTTTTCATTGGGGCAACAGATATCCAAGCAGAACTTGAGATTGAATGTTACACCATCAATAGTGTCGCTCAAAACAACGCTGCCAAACATCTTCTAGTCCGTACATTGTAACAATTCTGTTAGATTAATTATGTTACTCAGTAAATAGGTTCTATGTACAATCTTCCTATATGTGAAGGCCGTTTTCTGTTGTTTGCCATATATTTTGGACCAAATATGTATAATGCAATGATCTGAACTGAGCAGTGGGGATCTCTTTCGAGTTTCATATATATACCAGTACCATTGACGAAAACCAAGTCTAGTTCTGCATCCTGACGCCTTGTGAAATTAACAAGGTTTTGATAAACAAGAGTTTTGAGAAAGTTTTGGTCACAAGAATTGAAATTGCCGCATATTATCGACAGGGAACCACAGAGTATAAGGGCTGCAAATTTCGTGAATATGTCAGATAAACTGGATAATTAGGGGAAACTGCAACCGGGCGTCCCATAAATATTTGTGCTATAGATAGAGCGATGCTTGTTCAGATGTTTTGGGCGTCATTTTACAGTGATCCAGTTTATGTAGTCATTTGAGAATTTGAAGCATATGTAACTTGAAATGCACCAGTGGGTACTTTTGAAGATAGCTGCTCCACCTCCAGTTTTCTTAGTAGATCTACACCGATCCTGAAGGAAAATTCTGAAATCATTCAGAGAAATCAAATTGTCATCATAGATTTCATGTAACCAAGTTTTGTGCAGTTTAATTATTCCAGTATTACGGTAGACATCGAGGATTAAAACTATTGTAAGTGATCTACTTTTCCTTGCAGTTAGGTGCAGTTTGTGCTTATCACTTCAGGTAGAGTCATTTGAGATAAGGCTATTTGCTCCGAAGCACGTTGCTATCCGCCGTGATGTTTTCTCCTCATCTAATAGTTGATACCGGCATCACAGAAGGCTGTAAACATTTCTAAAATGTGCGTGAATATATAATGCGATCAGAGGACATAATAGAATGATTAAAACAAAAATATCTGTAGAAACATTTGATGTAATATGTCAGATGTAAAATTAATTGGCCCAAAAATTCAAGTGGGCCGCTTGTCTGATAGTGGAGAAAGTGTGTGGAGTGGTTTTGCTCACAATATGTCGGGTTATAGTTACCTGATCACACGATATTCTCAATTATGAATGTGATAATCAACTGTACTATCGTCTTGTTTTGATTAGGTGAAAGAAGTGGTGAGGAGTGTCGAGAAAAGGCTCAATTCTGTTAACTTGTCTTGCGATATTGAAGGTGTGATACCTCCAAGTGGGGATACATCATACTATAAAACGTTAAAACTTGCAATGTCATCACGCAAGATGCAGTCGGCGTTCAGCACGACGAACTGGTTTGAAGAACTGAAAACATCTTTGGAATCTGGAGAAGTCACTCAGTATAACAAGTGGGTGAAAAGTGAGTGAATCACGTCGATATAATTTTCACTCAAATATCTTATATGATTGAGCAGATCAGTGAGGAGGTGATATGCATAGTGACTTGATGCACTGTTGGTCATTGGTGACAGATTGTTTACCCAGCTGACAATTGTGAAAAGCAGATTTTCATTTTGGTGCCATCACCAGTTGGGGAGATTTGTGACGCGTAGACCTTGAGAATTCGGTTCATTTCACGAGCACCATTCATCTTCATGGATGAGCTAGATGCATGCCTATGTCACTATGAGCGTATCATTTCATAATAATTCAATGTAACCTTAGTATCTCTTGCCATCGAGTGTGAATCCCTTTGTTTCTTTGTGTTTCAGAAATTGTCTCAGTGACACGTGAGTCTGAAGTTTGCCTCCCGCTTTCTTTTGTTGAGTGCTATTACCAGTAGTGCAACCTAACAGTCTACGAGCGATACGAATCTAACCTACAAACGAGTCTACTCTAAACGCTCATCAGAATGTCAACAACAACAACAACAACAATACCATGGACACGCGAAGACAAGAGGAGAAGACAGACAGTTGACAGAGGGCTTTCTACTGTCTCAACAGCACTCAAAACGGTGGAGAGCGATGCTGAATATCTACGTTTCTAAATGATCTTGACAACACTAAGTTCACATTTAGGTTAGGAGAGTTATCAACCAAAGAGAGTTCAGCCCTCAGAGCAGTGGGAAAACAAGAGCTAGTAATGGTGTGAGAAAAGCAGTGGTAAGTTATTTAAGGTTATAGGCAAACATCAGGCAAGTGTTATCCGAAATTGGGGGTATATGGCATTGAGTAGTGAAATGTGATGGTGAGATCGGAGTGCGTCTCTCACCTACACTGGAATGTGAAGTGTTAGGTTTCCTAGCGACTGTAGTGACGTCTTCCGGTAGATCTGAGCTTAGGAACATACAATCTATGTTGATTGATCATTGGAAAGTAGTCAGTTTCATCTTCAGTGGGCCTGAGTGCTGACCGAATTGCATCGATCATCTTGCAGAGTGGCCACAGAGCTAGGAGACTCACTACTACAGCCTGACAGCCTGACCTGTGTTATTTGGTTGAAAGTAATCGGTTGGAAGCCCTGCTTGACCCAGATTTAGTGTGTGTTGTCGCTCTGGCTAATCTGAAAAAAAATCCAGAGAAACTGATAGCCCGTCTAAGTTTTGAACCGACATCAGCCAGTGTTGTAGTCGGAGACGTCGTCACTGAAATTTCGAGGTTTGGAAGCATGCATTTTTCCAATGCGTCATCCATCTGAGGATGGTTCGCTATAGTCGAACTGTGTAGGCTGGTCATCATTGTTCAGAGAGTCTTCACTGACAGTGCGAAACGTGTTGCATCAGCCTAGTTATCCGAGTTACATGGAGTTGAGTCTGGCAGTGATTGCTGACGGAGTGGTTTGTCCGTCTTTCTCTGACTGTGGTGAATGAGGATACGTTTTCTCGGTTTGGTTGAATGGATGCATGAAGTTGTGTGGATAGTGTGAGTTGAGGTGTCGCTTCGTGAACAATGCAGGAAAAGAGATTGATTATTTGTGACAGTATGAAATTTCGTGGATATAATTCGTGCAGTGAAAGATCCACCTCGTTGTTCACTTTTCCAGTCAATACACGGAAGGATATGATGCATCATAATAAAATCCACCTTCTCGTTCGTAACGAGATGGATTTGCCTGGATGGAGCTTATTTAAACTAAGGAAGTGGCATCGGTTTTCAGTTAGTGTGTCTGTTTGTATATCTCATAGACTGAGTCTTCAGAGTCTTCCAAAGAGTGGGTACTTTGATAAAGTTATTGCACATCCTGAGTTGAAGTGCATGTTAATTCTGTGTATCTGTCGGTGAGATGCTGTAGCTTACGGAAGGGTCTCGAATGATGTGGAGGCCTGATTGTCTAGTGAATAAATCCATGCGTCAGAATGACGAAATTCATTCACTTCAGTTTTGTTGGGATTTCATCATGAACAGGTGATGCATGGGATGAGGAAGCTGTCAGTAGAGCGTTTGACACAATCGTACAACTGCCTCCATGGTGAAACTGCTGCTCTGTGCACACAAATATAGGACTGGAAATTGTGGTGACTGTTAGGCATTAATGTTGGCACTGTGATTTACATGGAATCAGATTGTATCAGATATATTGACGTTACCAAAATCTCTTTCCGGCTTCTTTACTTGAGGAGAATAAGAATGTAGGAATAGGTGTGATTTTCTAATCCTACTATGAGCTTTGCTTGTGAAGATGGTACAGTTGGCCAGATCACTCCTCTCGAGGCACCTGTTTAACTTGCACACAGTCGTTTCTCATCGCGAAACCAAGAATAACAAGTTGTTTTGTCTAGATATTTTCTCTGGTGTAACGTTAGGATGTTTTGCATGCTGATGATTGTGTGCGAAACCAATTGTGGATGAGAAGTGGTTTGATTAGTTGAGAAGACATGCAGACACATGAGTTACTGTGAATCCGTGTGAACTGATTTCTTCTCGGTCAGAGAGTCCGTTGAAAGCAGCCAGCAACATTAGCTGCGGCGTTACACAAAGTTTGTTTCTCGCGTCAGTAAAATTATAAGTCTATGCTCGCCATTCATGTGTACACTCTGTTGAATTCGCTTTTCAGCGGGAAGAACTCCAACGATAAGTAAGATATTAGACATTTACTACTTGGTTAAATGAGATAATATTTCAATTTGAACTGACATGCTTTATGTCACTCATGGTGCATTGATAGATGATCTGTGCATACACAATGGTAGGAATGAAGTGCAGTGGGTTCCGTAGCTCACTCACTTCTCATCTGCATACACGATGTTCGAGTGCATGTTACGGATAACATTGGTAGGAATGGACAGGTTGAATTAGTGACTGGCAATTCGATTTTTATTGTACATTCATCAGTAGGCTCTGAAGTGGTGTGATGAGTGGTGTGAGTGAGAACTTGTGCTCACGATTTTTGGATTTCACACACATCTGACATTGTCTTTTGATGCATAGCATGGTTTGGTTTTCCATTCTTGAGTGGAGACATGAATGTTGTTGACAAGGTTTGTGATGGCCTTATTAACTGAATAAGGTTAAAGAGACAATATTGACTAAGTTGACACGATCATGCTGGTTGATCCTCCTCACTTATATGTTGGCATCAGCCGATACTCTAATGACCCAGTGAAGCAACTTGAACATCGTTGGTGAGAGGTTGTGGTGTATGTGCATTCAGGTTGTGATATGTGGTTAGATGTGGATTGCGTAGTACTACCCATACGAGTGTTACTTCCCTCTCAGCAGACAAGGTACCTTAGTGGTTCATGTCAAAGACTTCACTCAGTAGGTTGTATTGAAGGTATGTCGAACGACATGGGAATGACAGTTGGACTGGATGAATGTGATATGCTGAAGTGAGTGGTATTGTTGATTTCTGGACACTGTTGTCGATATCATTAGGTTTAGAGTGGAGCAAGTATTAAGAGTGGCGATGTACTTGTACAGCTGGTGAAGAGCAGAATGTTCATAGATGCAAGTCACTTTGTAAGCAATAGGTGTTTTAATTAAAATTGACAGACCGTGCCATGAACCTGTGTGAATGTTGACTTCAGTGATGAATATTGAGACACTCATCACCTCTCTCGTTGTGTACATCTTTGTAAAGCTGCATGCTTTTAAATGATGACGAAATGTGTCCAGACGAACCCAGTTGGTAGGTCAAGCAATGTTTACATGTAGATTGTCGACTATGAGTTACGAGTAGGTAATATTGGTGTGTAGAATTGAGTTGACGACTCGGTATTTTTCGTGTGCAGATGTAGGAAAGAATCTAGTGCATATTTTGAGGGTAGATGGCTCTTGACATTTTTTATTTTATCTTGTCATTTCAGATACCACTGCAATAGTCCCATTCAAAATGGATTCACAACACAAAAACTTGTGCACACGGGTTGGTTCACAAACTGTTTGTCATCTGAGAGACGTCGATAACCATGTCATTATGATTGTTGACTAGGAGTTAAGATGACTCTCTTTGTAGACATATGACGCTGCGTATTCGTTAGATGGATCAGTGTTCATCACTGTGTCCATTCTGTGTGTAGCCTCAGTTATCGGGGATCATGGAGACAAGTTGACATTCTGTGATTGAGGGTGAGGGTCCAGATGCTGTCTCGCTAACTTTGTGTGATGCTGAGAAGAGGACGATGATTAACTTTTACATTTCGAGGGAAGACTGCTGTGATCCAGACCCATGGATGAATCAGAATTGATAATAAAGTTGCCGAAACTCTTTTTTTGTATTGCAAATATTGTTGGGGACAAACAATACGTCCAACCGTTTTCTGGTAAAATATGTATGGTATTTATTATTAAGGAATCGGTTTCCACAGATATCTCATACATTAGTTGCAAAGCAATCAACACAACATTTCTCATTATTTAACTAACTGGGTATGGTGTAATCGCCGGTGTTTGAACGACTGAAGGTGTCAGTGCGTGTCGCCGACGATTGTTGACTGCAATCCTCACGTTTCTCAGACAGTTTGGCGTCCACTGATAGAGGCTTCATATGGGTTTCAAGCATGCCTTCCTTTTGTGGTGAATTAGAATATGGGAAAATATCGCTACCGGAAACACTGAAGTTGGTCCATTATGAATCCTACCGCATATATAACATTCCTATTACCTGAATGAACATTACTATAGTTTGTTTGGTTGTGGCTAGCAGAAGAATCCAGGACGTGCGTTTCATCCAACTTGGGGCTCGTCAGCTGAACGTACCTGCACCCCAGTGAGTGATGTTCCCACTAAGACTCAAACCTCATACTCATCGCTTCAAACGCCAAGGCGTTACCCACTATGCAACAGAGGAACGACAGCCACTTCTTGTACAACGGGTAGCAGTTATTACTATTTATTGACATACTTGGAATTCTCCCATGTTTTATTGGATCGAATTGTTTGACCTCTATTTTTGTATGACATATGAATTTTAATTAAGGTAGTTTGTTTGGTTTTGGCTAGGAGAAGAATTTGAAGTTTGGGATTATGTAGTGATAACCTAATATAGATTCATATGAATCTCTCGTACTACATTTATTCATAGAGTCTCGTCGATTATATTGAACGTCCTAATTTTTTCTCGTATGGATATTGCAGTTGAAGGGTCTGTTATCGAACTACTACACAAGATTTGAAGAAACGGTTGAGAACTGCTCTTTCGATGGAAAGAAGTTTATCGTGAAATTTTCTGTGGAGAAACTAGTCGAGTTGGAGCATTATTATGATAGCTACGTGCTTTATCTGCGCGTACGTCATACCGCTCTGAAGCTGAGGAGTATTACATTAAGTGATGATTGTAAGTTCAAATGCCTGCTTAAGATTCATGTCCTGTAAATTATTCCTTTTTCATGTTGAGAAAAATACAACTTCGATTCTCTTACCAGTCACACTTAATATTTAAAACATTGACAGTTGAAACCAAACAACTGATCTTTTCACATATCATCGCATCACACTACATCATATGGAATCAGTGTTTTGGACAACAAGTATTGGATAATGCGGGTGTACACCTCCCTCTCCATCCTTCTTGATCAAACATATATGCTTCAACGACTTTCAACTGAACCAGTGTTGCGAAGTAGATATGATTCTGTCGAGTCATCACTGTTGTAAATAATGCTGTCATGAGTTTAAATCAGTTGAAAGTCTTCCACTTGAACCGCGTCTATCACTTTCAGCCTCATTCCTTGTAACTTTGATCAGATGACACAGTTCTCAGCATTTAATGTCACTCAGGTTCGCCTGGCTTTTCGAAATCACTGTACTTATGTGAGTTATGACGCTGATGTAGAGTATTCTGAAGCTCTGAGCAGCTGCACTGCTCTCCATCATGCAGCAAGTCAAACTTCTGTGTTTCGGAGTGAGAAGTGCTTAGGAATCAGTGTGCTTGTCTTCATAGGGAGTAGGGTATATCTGACAGTGTTTGATTCACATTTCACTTGATTGTAATAGTAAGCTATTGCAGATGCTATGGGAATTTCCAAAGTCAAACACTAGTTGAACTTGCCACTGAAAGTGTTCTGAAATACTAATTTATTCTTACTATTCGACACTCCGGTCAGTTGGTAATATTCGGATTTGTGTGAATACTGGCACAATGGAAGTTGATGATCCTTGCGTCTGACTGATGTGTCTGCCTTCAGATTTCTTGCTGTATCATTTGAAGTCATATGACTGTATTTCATGTGAGAGGTTTGAAAGTTATGGGTAGACTGATCATACTGAGATGGTGAATATTCTCGTCATGAAATGATGTGAGAATTCTGGCAAGGGGAGTTGGGTATTGTTTGTTTCAGCCTAGGTTTGTTGACATTTCGAATAGTGGTGAGAGGTTGTTTGTAACAATATCTGAGTGCTTCGTCTAGAGACTTGTGTACATGTGTGAGAAGAGTTGTCATGGTATGAGGAGCTGGCTGACACACCTTCACTGATCTTCATTGGTGGTTCCAATTGCTTCATATATTATAGGCAAGCAGGTGTTTAAGGCATTCAATGGCGCGGTATGATGCTTGGTGTCTGTGAACACTGCTTTTGTTGTCTTTCATTGGTCATTGAGTGATGGATAGCGATATTGTCAGTAGAGAATGTGGATTCACAGCACTGAAGCTTCTCTAACTCAAGTACTTGGTGTAGATATTCATGTGAAGTGGCTTATCTTTGTATGTATGTCTGTGCCAAGTGGATCATTGATCAGATTTTGGAAATGAGTAATGGAAGCATATATATATATATATATATATATATATATATATATATGTATATAGTGAAAAAGGAAACGATGTGTTGTTTCTCAATTTCTTTCCTAGCATCTCCATTTTGATGATGGTGATAAATATATGAGACTGATTATAATCTGTATCCAATTAGATTTTCGGCCGAATAGCATGATGCATTATTTCAGGGTTTTGTCTTCAACTGCTTGAGGTAAAACTTTGAGGAATATGGAAATGTACAAGTGCTTGAATGTCTTAATCAATTTCGATGGAAAAATATCAACTTGATGAAATGCTTGCTTGATGTTGCCTTACTGAATTCCGAATAATTTTCCGTTTATATTTGCCAGCAGTAGTATTAATATTGTTTATACTTTAGAGCTCAAAGCTTAAGAATATCGCCTATAGTATTTATTTAAATCCAATTTCACTGTGATACCTTCATGTCTATGGTAATCTCACTCATCAGTAAAATCGTTCATTGGTCATTGAAACAGTTGAAACTGTTTCGTAAAATGTTGATTGCCAATGCTTTGAAAGGTAGCCTCCAATTGTGAGTTTCATAATTCAATGGACTTTTGATAGCAATGAACACAGATTCACCCAATGTAGAGATTCACGAGGGAATCTGTAACTTGGTTGTAGCAGCCGTTACTCTATATGTTTTGAGAAGACGCCCTATGAAGACACTTTTCTTTCGATAGCGACATGTTTGCTGGAAAGATAGGCTTAAAGAGTAACCAAATGCTGCTGAAAAATGCCGGTGTGATAATGGTTACTTACAAAAGTGCACTGATAATTACAAGAAATTATTAAGTGAAAATAAAAAGTCGAACTGGCTTTGAAAGTGATCCGTCTTCCGAAGGATTATGATATCGCTGATGAAACGAAGGACAGAATGAGTGGTGTATTACAGGCAAGCTATTTAGTTGCTAGGTTATTTGCTTTCAACAAACGACTTGCTTACTGAGAAACGTTTAAGTCGGTGTGTCCACTTCTCATGTCCGAGACAACCGCACATGCCTATTCTTTTGTAAATACCGAAAAAATGCAATATACGACGAGACCATTTAGTGATATGCTCCACCAGCCTCGACTTCATGGTTGTGATTACTCCTTCTCCAAATGTAAGTGTCACCGCACACACATGCTAATTGGCATACACAGCGTGATGTGACTCAACCACTTTTGAAGTGATGAGGTTTATTTTGGAGCATAGGTTTCGTTTTCCGATAATATTTAGTTTGTCTGCGTAGTATGCCTTTCTAATAACTAAATTAAGTCTTCTTCTTAAGATCATACCATTTGGTTCCACTTTATACGATAGCGTGATGTAGGCATTCTACTTCGGGACAGAACAATGAATATTTCGCACTGTTGAGACGTTTTTATAACGATTGATGTCCGAAGTGCAAATGCTCGTCATCTGATCGGTAGTAGATACGAAGTGATTATCGCGATTGTTTTCAATAATTGAAAAGCAGATGAACTGGAACTCGCTTCCAGCTTTTAAATGGTTACCCAACTGGTGTCAGTTCGAAATGGAGACTAAATTAAAATGAATAAATTACTGTAATCCCCAAAATGAACGCAAACTCGTTACACTTCATTGATTCTTTAGTTATTCAGAGATCAAAATTGAAGTTGTGTATTCAGAATGAAACATTCGATTGTTCATATCATGGTAATTTATAATCTTGCCCACATTCATGATTTCTTCGCATAACGTTATCTATTTACGCTTTTACACTGTCTGTCCTATTTCACACTATTCATCTGAATGTTGAAATTTCACTCGTTTTATTTTCTTAGCCAGTCTACATCGTTTAGCGTTACACATATATATTTTTTAGTGACATTTACTTCAGTATCTAAAAGACGCTTATCTCCCTCTGTTGTCCAACTCTCTTCTTCGTCTGTAGTATACTCGTCAACATTTCTTTTATTATCACTTCTTAGCACTAGCTTCTATCAGTGGAGTTTTGTGACTTCTTTTACGTGACATGAAGTCCTCTCTTCTCCAAGGTGATAATCTCCTATCAAAATTGCTAAACGTATATCAACATTTTTCTATATTTTGATACTAGCATTGCTTCTGGCTGCTAACAGGTGATAAGATATTGCGGTAATGATAGACAGCGACTATCAATGGATTTCAGGACACACATTTTGTTCTATTTAGGACTCGTCAGCTGAATGTGCCTACCTGTAGATGAGCGATGTAGTTCCCACTAAGACTGGCACCCAGAACCGATTGCCTCAAACGCCAGTGTGAGTCACAATAGTCACCTCTTGTGCAAGGAGTATAGGCTTTACCTTGTTCCTAATGTAACCACGTCGTTGATTCGACCGAATTGATCAGTGATAAGATATCTCGAAGTATAGTAGATCCATGCTATCCTGCTGAAACTGTCATTGTCGCTCTACCTCAACTTATCAAGTGCATTTAATTCATTCACAACTCAAGTAAACCTCTATTCTATACCTTATTTATGTTTTTCTCAATGTATGCATAGAATATATTACTAGCAGATTGATAATGAAGTGCGAATGGAATTCATTGCCACAGAGAGTAAAGTGCATATTCAGAAACATAATTCTCAGGATTGCAAATATTCATAGATTTCATTGAATTTTGTAGGTTGGATGAAAGTATAAGAACAACTCTAGTTAAACTTACTGATATGTTTGTAGATGCACAAGACATTGATTGAACTGAACAGTCAGGATTGATTTGCATGTTATGTGCTTCAGTAGATTATAACAATTTTCGAGTGACCTACAAACCACAGTACACAAGTATATGAAAGGCAACTTCAAAGCACAACTAGATAAAATTTGAAAGCATATTAAGTGAACATCAAGAGCAAGATAAGTGACAGTGAAACGTGAGTTCTAGATTACCAAAAGTGGTAATTCTAATCATTCCTTAACAACAACAACAACAACAACAACAACAACTACTACTACTACTACTACTACTACTACTACTACTACTACTACTACTACTACTACTACTACTACTCCAGTTACTATTACTACTACTTCTACTGCTACTACTAGTACTACTGCTCACACTGGGAGATGCTGCCACAAACAAAGGCACGTTGATAACCCTTGTGTAGTTCGCAACTGAATTTCATCGTGAATATGAGTTTCATTTTGCGTAAGATTTTAGTACAGATTAGGTGTATTTTGAATGTGCCGATTGGTGTAAGTTAGATATGAATATTATTTTGTGAGATATTATGTAGTTCCTTCTCAATGCATATGGGAGATCAGATGAGGGCAGTTCTGTGAAAAACGCTAGACACGCTTGCGTACAGATTGCTTGCAAACGCAGGATATTTTTGATCAATCTGTCATAGGAATGAAACAATCAATAGTCAGATAATGCGACACTGCAAACATCATATAATAATGTTTATTCGATGTAGAATTATCGACTAACACAGTGACCAAGTTTGACTAATAAATACATTAACGAAAATTATGGTCTTCCTATTCGAAGACTGGTGAGTAAACTCACACGACTTTCACAGACTGAATCATGATACACAAACTACCATGCTCTTCATGTTTGATGCATGAGAAACCAGATTATTTCTAAATATCTTCAACCAAGTAAATAATACTGTATCACTGTGTGACATAATAAATAAACAATTCAACATGGAATTGGACTCTTCCATAGTGCATGAAGTTTACTCTTACCAAACTGACAACAGATAGTTTGAAGCTGGTGAGTGGACAGTGTAGGGTGAATTCAGATACCAGGTGAAGATAAGCATTCACTCTAAATCAGATTCGACTGCAATTCTCACACGAATGGACATCTTGTAGTAGCAGTAATTGACTTATTTGATAGTGGTAACATTTACACTTCTGCCAAAAGGTTACTAAATGGTGATGTGCTAATGATTCACCATCCTACAAACTATGATAATCCATTTTGTCGACAGATATTTATGTACAGAGATCTAGTGTAGAGGTATTATCAGAGTTATATTTGATGAGACATTCACTGCACTTGTCCGACCTGCTGTTTGTCAGTGATTGTCAGCATCGACGACACCAGCAAAATATGTTGGATTCGATGGAGGATGTCAACTAAACCGAGGAATAGGAGCACACTGATTAGGGGACAATAATTTTACCTTATTGAAAGTGGATTCAAATTTCAATAGATATCCATGTACATGTTCGTGTATCCGACGTTTTGTCTTTATTATTTGTGAATGTTTGAGTTGTTTGTATCTGAGTATGACGTATTAGTAATATGTGATTAAGAAGTATTTTTGTTTGTGTTCTTCTCACCATTTCTGAACAACTAGCAACAGCTCGGCCAAATACTCGAACACATTCTGACGAAATTCCTAGGAGAACTGAATATTTTGCAGCAGCAGGTTGGTTTGTTACTCATCCTTACTCGCCATTTGCGTCATCAAGCGTTTTGTTCCAATCTGAGGATGGACGATATTGTTTGAGTATGATCACATCAATGTATATGCACACATTTCACCGCATTCATCGAAACTTTACTTAAATGATCTATGTGTAGCTATCGGTGTTTAGTTTTACTGAGGATAATTCTGCGATGATATCAAGTTTGAAACACGTATGGAAATTACGTTGAATTTTGTAGTGTGATATGCGAACGCTTTTTCTTCGATCACGTTCATAATGACGAGACCATCAGAAGAATCTCTGGTTGGGGATGTGGGGATATTTTTAAGCAAAGTTTTTCTCACTACCCCTGCCTGACATTTCAGGCATCTTCCACTGTTCACCAACAGACAGTAAGCAGGATGCTCAACCTCGTGTTTCTCCGTCTTGCTATCAAGGATTTAGTTTAGAGGTAATTTTTTGTGGAAATACTCATACAACCCTTGACGAGTAGCACAGTGACTGGTGTGTTGTAGATATCAAGTAGGTACGAACACTTGCAGGCATCCCAATCCATTTAAGACATGTCTCACCTTACCAGCCGAAATAATACGTAACGAGTGAATAGTGAAGATCACACTCTCTGCTTATCTGTCCTTCAACAAATGTTCATCATAGTATGTGGCAAATTCCCATGTCGCTCAAGCCTTCAACTATAACTGACTACTCTTTGCAATCGGATAACGGTTAAAAGAATCACATCGGTGTCCTCTTCACTTGAATATCCCGCATAACTGAAAAGTTGATGATGATGATGATGCAGAGTGGCTTGTTTCACCCTTGGTAATTATTGACAAAATATCAACCTGATTGATTGTCCATGCTGATCAACATGATGTCAGTTCATGAATTCAGATCTTGGAGATAATTTAAATTGTCAAAAGAGACAGTGACGAAAATTGTTTCCCCGATGTACCTGCATTTTTCACGTCCACCAACGAAAATCTCGACAAATTAACAACGAGTAGCCCTCTCAACAACAACAACAACCAGAGTTTTCTAAGCTAGGTAAATTACTGCTACAAGCTTAGTAGAAGTAAACAGCCTAGTATTCAGTGGACAATTTCACTTCGAAGCGAAGATGTGCAAACAAATCAAAGGAACTCTCTGGCTGGCTGGCTGGCTGGTTGAATGATATCAAAAGTGTTTAGTGTAGTATATTTGAATTTGTTATGTGAGTAATAATAAATAAGTTCAGTCTCATCAACCAAATTTCTAAAGGTACTCAATCTTTACAAGCAGAAGAAGGAGGAGAAAAAAGTTGCATAGACGTGTTCCTAAACGTTCTTAACATTAAAAATTTACAAACTCAAGTGTACCAGAAGTCAACGCGAATAGATCAGGTTTAGGAAGAAACGTGTAACAATTCAACGCATACAAACACTAGTCGCACATACCAAGACTCACTGAAGTACTCAACAAGTACAGAAGTCGAAAGATTTACACATTTACAATGTGTTCACAGACAATGACTATCAAGTTGACTTTATCAAGAAATGCCTGTCAACAGAACACACACCACGACAATTACCTGAACCTACTAAACGAGTCACTTCACCATATATCAAGCATGTCTCACAGACCGTCAACTGACTACTTCATCCACTTGGTATCAACGTGGCACACAAACCAAGGAAATTCCTGAAGAGCATATTATGCAACTTAAGTGATCCATTGTGCGAAGAAGGTGAGATAAATATCATCAACGAAATTGGTCGCAAAGACTGATTGTTGGTCAGTTAAGTCGTCGAATAGGCTGGGGAATGTTTGAGCACCAATTTGCAGTCAAACGGAATGATACATACTTTTTGATGTTGATATGTTTGAATAAGCACAACTAGAACCTCGATTGGGATAATGTGGGAATGCTACAACAAGCTAACTGAAAAACTGCCAACAGGTTCCTGAAAGCATGAAACTCAAAGGAAATGGTAACCAAGGTTCACACACTTACACTGAACCAATGATAGTGGAAAAAGCAAAAGACAGGTATGCAGGAAGGAATGCTGATTGTCAACAAGTGGGACATTAGTCGTTGAATATCGCACACCATGCATTAAAATCGTCATTAACAAAGTATGATTCATTTGCTCTTCTGCTTCTTTCTTCATTTGCTCTTTATACGCCTGCCTTGTCTCTTGCGTTTCTCTTGGCGGAATCCTTACCCATTGTTGGTAATTCCCTACGATTTCTGCCACCCTCTCAACTTATACTACTTATATCCATTCTTATCAACAACACCCACTACAATAGCACTACTAAGATGTGATCAGCAAACTGGAAATTAATCATGCCGATCGATAATCAGATATTACTTCAAAAAGATAGGTTAAATGTTCGCAATGGCTTAAATATCGATGTCTAATGGTTGAAGGAATCGAATAATCTCCACCTACAATGCAATGATACTTAATGTCGGTCAATATCCTTTATAAACATTGATGCAAAATGACTACACTTCAACTGTGTATGAAGCAATTGCTGAAGTAGTCACCTAACCTGGTGATGAGAGGTTCAAGAACATACTTTAAGACTTGCAAACCAAATTAGAATTTTCAGAGGACAGTTTATCGCATAGAATTGGTCAGATCATTCCTTCGAATATACTTTTTCAGCATGCATGTGGTCGTTTTTATTGACTATATCGAAAACACATGAATTGGATTGATGTGAATGGGTTAGCACAGTAGAGTGGATGACACAGAAGTCGTGTTTTTCATTTCCCGATTCACCGCAACTGTTTTTCACTGTCTGCATTTGAGGCTCGTTAAGACAGAGTGTATTTGAAGGCTCTGGAGAGAAACTTTTCACTCTACACGGTTTATTTACTGACAGATATTCCTTAAGGCTGTGCGTATAAGAGAGCCAGTTATAGTCGAAGGGAAGAATCAGTTGAATGATCATGGAGACGTAATGACTTGTGCATTTTCATGGATCCATTTCAATTATATTTTCCCTTGGCAACCGATTCTGTTCAGAACAAACAGTATCATCAGCTGAACAGTGTTTCACGAAGTATAGCCTTCATATAAGTCAAATAATCAGTCAACGCTTGTCAATGATGATACATTGCTAAATTTAATTTTCAGAAAGAAATACGGATATGGGTAAGATATAACCATTTTATCATTTGTGAGATGGTAACCGATTCTACATTTTTGACATTTTATATGGACACTTTGTGCGCCATTGACAATGATTATATGAATAGTGTTATTGTATATGACTGAGAATAGAGTCAGTAAATAAGCAAATTAAAACGAAAGAGGTTGTAAGCATATGCAGAAAATGGTGAGGTTTGTCAAATACAAATAAGTGGCGAATGCACGCACGCATGCACGCCTGCACACAAACCAGTTGAGTTCTAATCACTCTCAGTTATGAAATCATGTGTAGAAGGGGAATACTTTGCAAAGTAGAATCACATAAATTCAAAACGTGAAATTTCCTAACCGTCGTTCAATGTGACTCATGCTTATTCATAATAGAAGTGATGGTTTGAAGTGATAGCCTTTACAAAATCATCTCTATGACATATGATTAAGTCACATTAATGTGGTCCTCAGAAAAGATGTAGATGTAGATCGTTAGAACAATCTGAAAGCCCAAGATAATTGGCTATGTTCTAGCAATAATTTGGGAAGGAAACGCCATTCAGTGACTTAATTTGGAAATACAAAGTAAAAACCAGCGATATCTGGAAACCTACATACTCAACATTGATTAATAAAGAGGAACGAATGTGAGTAAATGAAGAAGACAGCAGCCACAAACCCATTCATATCAGAAAAATTTAGTAAAATATAGAACAAATATGAAAAAGAGAACCAAGAAGGAGAAATACAAGTCATCGAAACAAATAGTGAAACATTCGGACAGTAAACTGGAGAAATTCCAAATAGGTATATGCGAAGGAAATCAAACAAACACGCGTAAAACAAACCAGGAAAAAATTCAAAAGGAAAAGAAGAAGAAGTGATCAATTGGCAAAAAACATACGCTAAGGAATGAAGAACGAAAAACAGGAAAAAAGCAAACATGACTATGGTGAAAGATAAGCAACGACGGAAAAGATTCAAAATAGGAAATGTACATCAAAATAAGCAGATAAACAGATTGGACAAATGTCACAAACCCGACAAAAAGAATCCCAAAAAACAAAATAGAGGTACCCACCGGAAAAAAAGAGACACGAGACCACTTAGAAAATCTATCGTTCACCTCTAGAAAGGAAAAGCGGACACAGAAAACATAAACAATGCCAAAGCGAAACAGACATCAATAGTCACTCATTAAACGAATTCATTCCAAATCAAATTATTCCTTCACACAGCAAAAACACATAAAATGGGGAAAATCGAGTACTTCAAATAAACAAGTCGGCATATAGCTCAACCAAGCTACACACCAACCAACTAACAATACACAATTCATATCTCATCCGTCCAATTAACACGCCTCCTCACTCACTCCACTCCATCACACACTACCATTCACAAATCAACAATCACCAATCACCAACGATCGAACATCACACACAATCCACAACTCACATTACATATCTCACTCATCCCACACATCCACACATTTACAAATCTCAACCTGACTCGATCAATGTCTCTACACCCAACTCAAACCAACCCAACCCAACCCGACCCATCCCAACCAACCGAAACCAAATCAAATCATTTTCATCATCAACATCATCGCAATGAAAATCGAGTTCAGGCTCAGGTTCATCAACATATTCCACTCACATCGACCCGAATCGACTTGACTCCATTCCATTCCTTTCCATTCCACATTCCACTGAACAAACCTAACAGGAACAAAGTAGTTCACATGCACACACGCTAACGCAGAGGCAAAACCCACACGCACACGCGCAATCAACAAGAAAATTCAATCATATATTCAATGAAATACTGCTTTATGAACTGACGCTCACACCTACACGTATAGTGTTTGGTGACATTTACTGCAGTATCTAATAGCCGCTTATCTCCCTCTGTTGTCCAACTCTCTTCTTCGTCTGTAGTATACTCGTCAACATTTCTTTTATTATCACTTCTTAGCACTAGCTTCTATCAGTGGGTTTTG